TAGTTAGATAACGGCGTAATATGTGACTAACACAGTCTATAGACTGTAAGATTTCACGCCACTATGTGCGTCGGTGTATATATATGTAAGATATTAAGCAGTTAACTAACGGCGTAAAATCTTGGAGTATATAATTTACCGACCGGAAGAAATTACGCCGTTAGTTACTGGCGTAAAATCTTACTGTATATAATATACCGACTGGAAGAAATTACGCCGCCGTTATATATATTCCCAAGTTGGCTTGCTACAAGTCAGTAATGGTTCAAGAGCGAAGAAACTGCGCAAGATAATGACACGAAACAACATGAAATACTCATTAGGACAGTAGTTCCATCTTATTAGAGCATCTTGGTCAACACTAGAACCCCATTGTCCTAATGACGTAGGGGCTCCTTCGTGGACCCTTTGATCTGTTGTGAGTATTCGTTAACCACATCCTGTGTCTCAGTTCAATGGAACCTTAGATAGGATATATATAACGGTAGACTGAGTCGAAATCAATCTGGTTCATTCATTCTCCTAACCTACTATCCAGGAAAAGTAAAAATTGCCAATATCAAGCACAGAAATAAAATCCCTCTTTTCACTTCTAACGTTCCTGGCGTGACATTATGCGAGATGGTAGACGGGTGCTTTGTCCTGTTGCTTTCGTTTTCTTGTAAAGGCCTTCCTGTGATTACTTCTAGGGTTCTGGTTGGTTTACCTGTGACAGAAAAATGTTTCAATAACAAAATCAATCTTCTCATTTGCAGCATATTTGCTATTTTTCGATATTTCAGTGTTTAACATTTATTGGAATTGAGGAAAGTATTCAATCATCGCTCAGTTTCATCATCACAGCACAACCAAACAACACATCACATTTCATATCAAGTCACAGGGGTAATATCCGTCGCGAAGTGTGGAAAAACGGAACTACCTCAATATCGCCCAGCCTTTATCATTACAGCGTTTAATTACGAGCAACAGAACGCATTTCCTATCAAGTTTAATACTGGAGTATAAATATCTATAGCGAAATAAAGGAAAGACACGAAAATTAAAATCAAGCCCTTGCTGTTGGATTTTTTTACAAGAAATTACAACCTATGTTATAGAAAGTTTTTGCAAAGTCGTGACAAGTCAACATTATCACAAATGAACGAAATCAAGAAGCTGTCTTACCTGGACAAACCACAGGATCGATTTTGAAAACACATTCTCTGAGCTTTTGTTTTCGTGGATCGTCGCGTTCAAAATAGAACATAAAATCTAGCTCAGCGTCTTCCATCTTGACGGTTCGCATGTTTACTGATTTATATCCCGGTTCCAATCTGCCCTTGTACTCTCTACACCCGTCCATACAGGTGCAGTTCCCTTTTTCATTGCAGAAAGTGATATCTTCAGATCCATCAGCTTTTTTCAAGAACGCTCCCAAGCCACGTGGAGTTTGAAGAAATTGTTGAAAGCTCGAACAAGATAAGTCAACTCTGTGGCCAATGCAACTGCGAACGCCTGAACATCAATAAAAATACATAAATATTTAG